AAAGAGTATAAAATTAAAATACGCTGATGTTGATTGAAATAATTTAAGTGATCAAAGTTTACTAAGTTTATTTTTTATTGATACAAAAATAAGAGAAAGAAGACTGTATATCAACTTAAACTTAGATCATTTAGATAATACTGATCAGATAAATGAACAGTAGTTTTAAATTAAAAAAAAACGTTTTTTTTTATTTATTTTAAATATAATTGATAGCTCAGAAACAGGTTTAACAATCAAAGTACTGAGACTCTTATCAACGATTGAAATAATTGATGTATTTCTTTATTAGTTTGTTATTTATTAATCCTTTTAAATCGGAAGAATAAGAATACATAAAAACAGTTTAGACTTCTAAAAAATAACACAATCACTGCCTTTCTTTGCAAACTATTGTGTTGAAATAAATTTAGAGTGTTAATGACTAGTCAAGGAATTGTTCTAAAACATGAAGTTCACCATATTTTTTGTTCTGATCATAATGTGTTTCAGTTTGCTAGTTGCTTCAGTTCATTTTTTATTTAAAAATACATATGTTATTAAGGATCATTATATTTATTTGTAATTTTTTATATCTTCAAATAAAGACTGAATTTCACAGTAACTAATGTGTTGTTATTGTCAATATTTTAAACTTAAATCTGAAATCAACATATTGATATACAATCACTTTCTCCTTTTCAATACATATGAAAAAATTTGATAAGTGCCAATTTCTTAATTTTAAGATTTTACAATATTATAGTAGGTCTAATAATTGGTCCACCTCTGCTGTGGCTGATTGCAATGAACCCAATCCTGACCTCTCTGACAATGAAGGGAATTAGAGGATAAAGGCATATGCAGACGACGTGGTAATATTGATCGTTGGCAAAAACTTGCAGACGATCAGTGACATCATGGAATCTGCTCTGAAGGAGCTAACGGAATGGGCAAAAAGGAATGGTTTGGGCATCAACCCAGACAAAACCGAACTCATTCCGTTTACAAGAAAATACAAGATACCCAAGTTCACGCTACCAAAGCTGGAAGGGAAGACACTTGTACTTGCTAAGGAGACAAAATATTTAGGAATCATTCTGGACTCGAAGCTTTCCTGGAAAAGGAACATGGAGGAAAGGATGATAAAGGGAATAAATGCATTATGTGCATGTAAAAAACTATTTGGAAAGAGATGGGGTCTGCAACCGTACATTATACACTGGATGTACACTGCTATAGTTAGACCAATCATCACTTAGGGAGCACTAGTATGGTGGGAAGCGGTACTTAAAGAGACTAATGGAAAAAGCCTCACAAAAGTACAGCGATTAGCAGCTCTAGGTACAACTGGAGCAAGGAACAACACAGCACAAGCTGCGCTAGAAGCAATTCTGGACTTGCAATCAATCGACTGGCTCGTGAAAGATCTGGCCGCTAAGGGTGCCCTCAGATTAAGGGAATCCAATCTGTGGAATCAGACCAACTACGGTCACTCGAGGATATTGCCAGTGATATCATGATCAGTGAAAAATCATGGTGAACACGAGTCCACATCTGCTAGACCAGAAAACGGATTATATGCTCACCAAACATGATTTTGAAGAAAAGATAAGGATTCGTATCCCGACAAGAGAATGGGAAAGCAACCGAGTAATGAACACTCAAGAGATAGCAATCTACACAGATGCTTCCGCAAATTCAGGGGGCACAGGTGTAGGCATTATCTCAGAGAAACTAGACATCCGACGATCTTTGAGGCTATCGGATGGCTGTAATGTTCTACAAGCAGAGGTTTACGCCATAAAGGAAGCGGCTAGATGTATACGAGAGAAAATTGCTGATAGACTAATAGGGGATATAGTGATATACTCTGACAGCTTGGCCGCTTTAAGAAGCATCACCATGCAATCAGTGAGATTGAAAACTGTGATGGAATGCCGAGAAGCACTGTCCTGGCTGCGCCGGGGCGGGGCTACTCTGTGCTGGGTGCCAGGCCACAGCAACGTGGTGGGCGATCAGGAAGCAGACAGACTCGCCAAAGATGGGGCCAGGGGAGAGTGGCGAGTGGCAGATGACCCACCACTTGTGAAGATCAACACACTGAAGGAGGCTATAGGAACTACCATCAAAGCCAAGCAGCAAGAGATGTGGCAACACCGTGAGAACTGCGCTACAGCTCGAAGACTATGGCCAGTGGTAGATAGCAAAAAGACAAAACAACTAGTAGAGCACAAAAAGGACCTAGTACGCATAATTGTAGGTGTCTTCACTGGAAACTCTCCCACGGGGGTAAACCTCGTAAGATGGAAAGTTTCCGACGACGACTACTGCAGAGAATGCGAAGAGGAAGAAGAAACCATAGAGCACCTGCTGTGCCACTGTCCGGCACTGGAATACCGACGCTTTAAAACTTTAGGGCAAGGTTTTTTGGAGGGACTAGAGGAAGCAGCAGAAGCCAACATCAGCGACATCGGGAACTTTGCAAAGAGCTGGAAGTGCTTTAACGCAAAGAAAGAATGAGAGGAAGGTTTGGTAAAACAATACAGGGGTATCGCAATGGGCCCAAGGCCTCCGAGTGAGGGATCAAATATGATCCCAAACCCCGGCAACCTAACCTAACCTAATAATTGGTCCCTAAAAAAGGTATAAACTCTGAAGGGCAATAAGTTGTTAAATCCTATGATATCTGCTTAGTAAATATATAGAATACACGGAAAGAACCTGATAACCACCAGCCGTCCAGTGCTCTCCTGTAAACTTAGTAAAATGGCGCTTATCATGTTTTTCCCCTGATGGACCCTTCATAATTATATGTAATATAGACAGTCCAACATTTTTGATTTTATAATAACTTTTGCTAACATTTTATGGTAGGTCCCTCGATATTAAATTAAATGGAAATTTTAAATAAAACTATTACAAATGTTTATGCCATAATCAAGATATGTAGGTTAATAAACATAATCCAAAAAAAAAACATATGTTATGTTTTTATTTTTATTGTATTATAAGCAAAACTTTGTCTAATCTCTAATCACTAATCAAAAATTATCTTCTAATTTTTTATCTGATAATAAATTGCATTTCTGCATTTCCAAGGAATCAGTGGCTATTAGGAAATTGAAAAAGCATGTAGCAATAACAATTTTTCTGATGTAGTGCAACATGTTTCCTGTAATTTTCCTAGCTATTCCTGTAGCTATTAGAAGTTTTACAATTGCTATTACTCCTGAAGAGAAACATATTGAACTGATAGTTGTCATATGCGTAATTATTGCATTTGTGGTGTTATTATTTGCAGGATATTTTTGCTGCGAAAGTATTAAGTAAGTTTTTTGTTCTTTAATATTATTGAACCTTTATAAAGCTTAATAAGTAATAAGTAATATATCTAATTAATACTTAGCTTTATAAATGTTTCATCATAACATAGGTGTGTCATTTATTGGTTAGTGCATTAGGATATTGATGTACTTAATAATTGACTTAAGTATATTAATTAAGTTTACTTAAACACAAAATACATGGTTTATAAGTATACATAACTACGTTCTTATAAAAATTTTAAAATACTAACTTTCTAAAAAATAATACTCTATATCTATGTATTCTATCTTCGATATATAAAATTATTTTTTGTTATAAAAGCCCTTATCTGATAAGTTGGACAAGTTAACATCTTTTTTGTTAATAGTTGTAAATAGATCACTTTTATATATTTAATATAACCGTTATAACGTAAGTCTCTATTTTACTAAATTCCTAAAATAAAGCAAGATAAGGTGATTTTTCTTCTCATTTAGTTGGAAAATACTTTAAACTTTATAGACACACTTATACAGTATAGGTATATGTTCCCGGATTGTCTTTACAAGAGGAAAAAAACTTTTTCATTATTGATATTTTGAGAATAATGCATTCTTCCTAAAAAAAATCCTTGTTCTAAAATGGTAAATCCCGTTTATACTTTTCCAAATTTCCATACACTTTTAGAGATAATTAATAAAGAACATGAAAATATAGTTGAATTTTTTCCTCAAGTCCTAAAAATCAAAACGCGTTTCTATGGTAACATAATTTCGTTTTCATTCTTTGATGGATTTTTATTGATAGAATTTTAATTAACGTCATATTTTTTGGTGATTTAAAATGTTAAATAGGCATAAAATTTATTTAGTTCAATCCTACAGAAAAGGTGATAATAGTTATCGGAAAATTGTAACTTTAACGACAGCAAATAATATGACGATAATCAAAATTAGTACTAACCTTAGGTAATAACCATCAATCAACGAATGAAATCTAAATTATATTACCGTAGAAACAACTTTTGATTTTAAAAATCAACCATAATTTCAAGATTTTTTAATTTTCTCTAAAAGGGTATGGAAATTTGGAAGAGTATAAACGGGGTTAATCGTTTTAGAACAAGCAAAAATGTTTATGAAGAGTGCATTTTACTCAAAATGTCAATAAAAAAAGTTTTTCCTCTTGTAAAGACAATACGGGGATATACTGTATAATAATTATTGTGGCAGTATAAAATATCTATATTTTAGTACAAGATTTATAGAGTTCTAATTTTTAAAATTTGCTTATCTGTAGAAAAAGGAGGGGCAGAAACAGAGACAAAGAAAACCAAAATAAAGGAAATGTAAACCATAATCAGGCAGTATATTGTAGGTGCAGACGTACTAAGTAAGTTTTTTATTCTTTAATATTATTGAACCTCTTTAAAGTAACGAGTAATATAATATCTAATTAAGAAAGTTAGCTTTATAAATGTGTCATCATAACATAGATGTGTCATTTATTGGTTAGTGCATTATGATATTGATGTACTTAATCGTTTACTTAACTATATTAATTAAGTTCACTTAAACACAAAATAGATGGTTTATAAGTATACATAACTATATGTTCTTATAATTTTTTTTAAAATACTAACTTTCTAAAAAATAATACTCTGTATCTATGTATTCTATCTTCGATATATAAAATTATTTTATGTTGTAAAAGCTCTTAACAGATATGTTGGACAAGTTAACATATTTTTTGTTAATATTTTTGTAAATAGAGCCCCTAACTTTTATATGTATAATATACCTGTCATATTCACACTTGAGGTAAATCTCTATTTCACTAAATTCCTAAAATAAAGCAAGATAAAATGATTTTTTTCTCATTTAGTTGGAAAAAACTTTAATGACACACTGATACAGGGCGGCGCACCTCATTTGTCTCAGTTGATTATACGAAAACGGAAGATGTAGAAACAAAATATTGTATGGGTATATGCGGGGAGGCAATGTGCACAATTTAAAATTATTTTGAAATATACAGGGTGCTTCAGAACTGAGATCCATACCAAATTTATATTTTTTCTTATGGAACACCCGGTTTTTATTTCATTTTTGGATCTTGGACCCAAAAAAAGACATTTATTATAACGACTGGATATGTTACTAGCGACACAACTAGTGATTTTATCTTGTGGGGAAAATTGCCTCTTGCCTTCAAGGGCTTATGTCCAAAGATCCAAACAGGAATGTTTCTGGTAAGCGTTCCTTTGAAAAACTACCTGTCCTATTTCGCAGAGCTAGTAACGGTGCTAGTAGTGTGGTTTATAAAAAAACCTATTGGCAGAAACCTGTCGTTGGAAGTGAATAAAATGATTTTGCCGTATTGGCTCTTTTATAGAAAATCCATAATCTACAAGACATCGTAAAATAAATCAAAGAACTACTTCTTCGTTTTTCTTGATAGAATAATATAACTACATATTTAATAAATAATTAAATAAAATATTACTTATTAAACTATTGTAGGTAAATTACATAAAAGTAAACTGGTATAAATTTAAATAAAGTCCATAAACTAATTTCGATTTTGAAAATAGCTAACTAACCGTCACTAGAAACTTGCCAGGACGACACTAGCCCTCTTGGTTGCCATTTTATTGTAAAATTGCTTTTTCCTCAAAATCTGAGCTAGATAGGTATAGGAAACCCTATTGCGTTATTTTTAAACACGGCAATATAAAATAACTATATTTTAGAACAAGATTTATAGTGTTCTTAAATTTTTAAATTTTGCTTATTTGTAGAAAAAGGAGGGGCAGAAACGGAGACGAAGAAAACCAAAATAAAGGAAATGTAAACCATAATCAGGCAATACAGATAGCACCGCATATTAAATATTAAAATAAATTACACCGTATGCTTTATTTCTAATAAACTAATAAAAATTGACGCAAAATTATCCTTTATTTTATTTAATAAAAGTCTATTTTTTCAGTAAATTATGTTTAACTAACCTTTTTGTAATTTTATATAGATTCCAAGTGTTATAATATTCTCAAAAGTGCTTTTTGTTTGGAAATGTAAACCAAAATCAGGCCCACACAACATACTATTATAGATATTAAACATTACATTGTATGCTCTATTTCTAATGAATTAATAAAAATTTAATAAAAATTAATATTTATTTTATTTAATAAAATGTATATTTTTTCAATAAATTATGTTTAACTAACTTTTTTGTAATTTTATGTATGTATTTAGTTTCAAAGTTATAATATTATAAAAAATGTTTTTTTTACTTTTGTTTTTATCTCTTAAAGACTCCAATGTAAGTAATGGAAAAATCTAGGCGGTACAGATATTCTCTTAATCGGTAATATAGTAATATATTTTAAAAAATATACTACGTTAGGTATTTTAAAAATTAATTAGTTCTATAAATACCGTGACATCTACTGATAAGCAATATAACTTAGCTTATAATATTTGTATAACAGTTTGTGTTTGTATTTAGATAAAATATAAGGATCAGAGATGGCGCAGGGGTATTTTCCTGTGCTGCCATCTAAAAATTCTAATCAGAACTTATCCGTCTTTTCTGATTACAGATTTCTACTGTTTCTTAGCTAAGTTATTGCTTAGCTCTCTAGATGGCAATACACAACATATTTTTTACATTAATATATTTAGAATTAGCCAGGATATTTAGAATTAGCGATACCTACCCAAAATTTGAATATATATACCTGGTATATATCCAGGGGTGGATGAGAAAGTGGAAACCGGCCTGGAAAAAACAAGCAATCGGCCTAAAACATATTTTATTTATTGATATATAAGTAAGGGTGTTTTTCGCTCTTTTGCCTCCGGTTTAAAAAGAAATGCCTTGATCAAAATTTTCGTAAAGAGCAATATTGGGTTGGACATTTGAATTTTTACTACAAAATGGTTCAGTTTTACAGGGTTCTAATGCTTTGTTTACATTATCGATAACGGTAATTTGATTTTGAATAGGCTACGATTTTGAGTCACGATTTTGAGAAACCTTAAGACTTCCTAATTCATTCAGTTCAGCTGACCCAATCCTCTGTGAAATACATTACTTTTAGCTTTTCGGGTATATACTTTCTTACACATTCTAGAATGAAATTCTTTCTTTTCTGCTACAGCAGCCTCCTCATGTACACGTGTTTTTAACTGAATGAACCGCGGTCGCCATTAAAACTGCAGTATTTTTTAGTATATTTATTATTTGTATATGTATAGTTGTTATCAAGAAACTTTTCCTCTATACTTTTCTACATTTGGCATCTTGTCTGATAATGCCATGACTCAAACGAAAAAACCTAGGCAATACCTAGGCAGTGGATATAAATGTGTTCTGATGTAATGCTATGTTACAATCCCTAATAAGAATATTTGGATTTTCAAGACATATTATCTAATCTAGTTTAAACCTTATTTAACTTTTCTCTACTGTCCCAGTAATTTTTAGCAAATTCATTTTAGCAACATTTTAAACAACAATTTAGACTTGGCTTTTAGTTCGTCCCCAATTCAAGCCAAGCATAGATATGTTTTCTCCGCCAACCGCAGAGTTCGCGTCAAATTCATCTACCTTTTTGCAAAGGGAAGCTTGAAAAATATTTCATTTAGATCGAGACTATTTAAATTTACCTAATGCTATTCATCCTTTTTGTTTGCTGCCAGTCAGTCATATTTATTAGTTATTAATATTTTAAATGACTGCAAATATTTTCAGGGGTGGTATATTTCGACCCCAGGAACACGTCTATGAGTTTTTTTTGTACAAAAAGAATCGAGCATTTTCTTTTAAATTTTCCTGTATATTTTAGAAAACTTTTTAGAACTTCTTGTTCACCGCAAATTTTCCCACGGTATAGTTTCTTAGTCTCTGATATTACGGCACTAAAAGAGATGCAAATACCGAAAAATTGAGGTGGTGATTTGTGAAATTTTTTTAAAAATAAATCTATTTTTTTAATTTCCAAACTTTAATAACTCGATTGGACTTATTTGAAAGTCGATAAAGAGAATATAGGTATCGCCCCATTGCTGCCAAAAGCCACTAACTTACTTTTTATTACTTCCGAGAAAAATGCGTCTAAAAATGAATTGCATTGCATAAAGATGTTATAGTTAGTAACTATTCGGTATTAAAATGAGACATAAATACGGCACCGGCTGTAATGCAAAAAAAATCTAGCTGTGAGCATCAATTAAAACGAAAATAATATTTGCTGGGAGAGATGCAAAATTTTATAACAATTTAAAATATATTTAACCAACATCAACACATTTAAACTATATCTAATAACAATAATAAATAGCAAACCAAGACATGAGATTTTGCTACAGGTGTTCGACATATCAACCGACTTCTGTTATGGACAGACGGGGCAGTTTTTGAACATATCTCGCGGAATTAATTAACTCAGTGGGGGTGAAAGATTCCTCTCATAACTGCTAAGTAATTCTAATTCTTGTCTAGATTATACGGAAGAATAAGGAACCTTTATTCTTCCGCAAATATATCCATAGGATTAGATCCATGGGCCTAATGGCACTAAGGCACCTTGTGTGATATTATCCAAAGAGGACTCCGTATCACTGAGAGATGGTGTAGAACTGTCGGGCTGAGTATTAACTCAGACAAAACCGCGATAGTGCCATTCACCAGAAAGCGAAGTCTGAAAAACTTGAAAAGAATCCAACTAGATGGAAAGGAAATACTGCCAACACAGGAAGTTAAATACCTGGGAATAACCCTGGACAGTAAACTCTTGTGGAACAGGCATATTAAGAACACTACCAGCAAAGCCATAAAGGCTCTCATGATATGCAGAAGACTGGCCGGAAATAGATGGGGCTGCTCCCCTAACATTTTGCTCTGGATGTATACCATGATAATAAGACCCACGATTACTTATGGAGCAGTTGCCTGGTACACAAAACTAGAGCAACGGACGGCAAGGCTAAACCTATGCAAAGTCCAGAGACTAGCATGCGTTTGCATCACAGGAGCCATGAGAACCTGTCCAACAGCAGCAATGGAGGTCATTCTAGATCTAACACCACTGCACATTGTCATTGGTAGATATGCCAATGCGACATTGATTAGAATGGTCACTAACGGAATTAGTACTGGGAGAATTGTCAGATCAGGGGCTTGGAACACCCTCATAAAGGAAATACCACTCCTGCAACTCCCAGTGGACGATATGCTAAGAACGTACAACTTTGAGAAACATCTCCATGTAGTATTGAGCAATAAAAAGGATTGGAAGAGCGAAACGCTTGCCCAGCAGTTAAAAGACCATACCATAACTTGGTATACTGATGCTTCCAAAACCAATACGGGAACAGGGATCGGAGTGTTTGGGCCGAGAGCTAAATACTCCGAACCAATCGGCACTTACCCTAGTATCCTACAGGCAGAAATCTACGCTATCGAAAGATGCATACAACTTATCTTAGATAGGAACTATCGGAAACAAGAAATAGCCACCTTGTCTGATAGTCAAGCAGCGTTAAAAGCGATCAACTCGAGTATCAATCAATTCAAGAAATTGGTCAAAGAATGCATAGAGAAGCTGAATAAATTAGGCAACGAAAACAAAGTCCTCATACTCTGGGTGCCTGCTCACCAAGGGATAGAAGGCAATGAAAAAGCAAATAATCTAGCTAGGAAAGGAGAGAACACTCCACTAACTGGACCAGAACCGTTCTGCTTTCCAAGTGGTAACCAACTCAAGGCGGAACTCAAGAACTTGCAAGATTCCATCCGCAACCTGGAATGGAAATCTTGCAACGGTCTAAGACACTCGAAGAAGTTTCTGAGGGCTTATGATCAAGAAAAATCACAGATCTTCCTGGGTTTAAGTAAAGAACAATCTTCGGATTGTCACGGGGTTTTAACAGGACACTGTCTCCTCAATGAACACCTCAGTAGATTGAAACTAAGAAGAAGCTTGGCGAATGCAGATTCTTTGGGGAAGATGGGGGAAACACCAGTACACCCTCATCACTGGAGTGCGCCGAGACGACAACCATTCGTGCCATGAATTTTGGTACGACTGATGTGGAGATGGAGAACTACCCTCTATAAAACCGTCCCAGATACTGGCTTTTGTCAAAGCCCTGGGACTGTATGATGAGTTATGACTCAAGAAAGGGGGACACAATGGATCTGTAAGGTCGCAGTGATTAACCCCCCTCCCACTCATTCTAAATTCTAAAATTCTAATCCATGGGCCCTAAGTCAGGCGGCCTCGACGGCCAACGGCTGGGATCTTGGTTAGCTATTCAATTAGTCTTGAAATTGGCTGCGAAAATTTGCTGATAACTTCAGCGTTCAGAGGCGGTGAGTCGTCTTGCTGGAAAAATATGTTTTTTAGAACTTCTTGTTCACCGCAAATTTTCCCACGGTATAGTTTCTTAATCTCTGATATTACGGCACTAAAAGAGATGCAAATACCGAAAAATTGAGGTGGTGCTTTGTGGAATTTTTTTAAAAATAAATCTATTTTTTTAATATCCAAACTTTAATAACTCGATTGGACTTATTTGAAAGTCGATAAAGAGAATATATCGCCCCATTGCTGCCAAAAGTCACTAACTTACTTTTTATTACTTCCGAGAAAAATGCGTCTAAAAATGAATTGCATTGCATAAAGATGTTATAGTTAGTAACTATTCGGTATTAAAATAAAACATAAATAGCCAGAAATCGTAGTTAATGACTTTTGCAATCGATTCTCCGCTTCAAAACATAGTTAGTGATTGAATTTGGTTTTTCGGAAAAATGTTAGTTAGTGACTTTTGGCAGCAATAGGACGATATTATGTTTATTTTATTGAGATCTACCAGCCCTGAAAATATTATTTGCACTTATAGACTCACGTTGTTTAATAAAAATTTTCAAACCGAACAAAC